GAGGAAAAGTACTCAGGGGATTATGCAAGCTAATATCTTTTTTATTAAATAGCTCGATACTTTTCGGACATGCCTGGTAAAGCGCTCAAGCGAGCTACAGGTTCAAAGGCGTCATTTTCTCCTTCTAATGCAAGTGTTTGTAATGAAATTAGTAAAAAAAAAAATGGCACTTCCGCGCATCTGTCATTGGCATGAGCAGAAGAAATCATCATTATCGCCGCCATCTTCGGATGTGTTCGCCATTGTTGTGTTTACGTATAATTAATAGGAAAAGAAGCTAGCGGAGTAAGGTAGAAGATATGAACACATCTAATGAACAGTAACCTTCTTGAACCTTTCTCTCTTACTTTTTTTCTATTAACCTTTTACCAAGTCTTTCTATGCCTTACTTTTGTATTTTCTATTCATTTTTTATCTTAATTTCTTTTCTTCCGTCTTTTATTTTCCCCTTGTCAGAATATCTTGGACTTTTTCTATAAATTCTTGTTTTTTTTTAAAGAAAAATTTGAAATAAGAGTATGAGTAGTAGTAGAAGGAGGACGAATAGAAGGAGTAGGAAGCAGTGGAGTTGGAAGAGGAGATAGTATAGATTGCAGCATTGTGAAGAGGTGAAGCAACACACAGCAGGTTTCCACCACTCAAGAAGCAGATAATCGACATGGTTCGCATCTCTTCTTTCGTAATTTGATCAGAAACTAATAAGCCATCTTGAATATAAATGATGGAATACTTACAAGGGCATCGTCTCCATCTGAATTTCATCGACGTCGATGAAAGTTTTGCCGCTATAAAATTATTATGATACATTTCCGACCATAACTTGCATCAAGATACCGGCTTTATTTCACCGAGCAGACGAATCGATGCTCTGTGAATGTCAATTCGCGAGTTATTTACTCACAGTCAAACATGGCGTCACGCCGTGCCGTTACTTCAATTCGGAAGCATACATGTGAAGCGAGCATTTTTTTTTTCTGGCTTCTGTTGCTTACTTTCGTATGTATTGTTTAGTGGTGTTTTTTTTTTTGTTTGCGTCTGCATTGTTAGCAGGTAGCAATTTTGTCGTCTTAATATGTATACATCGCTAACAGGTTTGCTAAGATAAGGTTCATCATGTTCTTCCTGTTCTCTCTCTCTCTCTCTCTCTCTCTCTTTCTCTCTCTCTTTTACTACTCACATTTTTAGTGTAACAATTTAGAGATTTTTTTTGAGTGCTCGTAATGTATGAGAAAGGCGATGGAGGATTGATAGGGTCATGCGTGTGACCGTCTCTCCAAAGATAGAAAGATGTAACCGAACAAATATATCCATTACTTGAAAAGAGAGAGAGAAAGAGGCAGATGGTAAAGAGAGAGAAAGAGAGAGAGCGAGAGAGAGAGAGAGAGAGAGAGAGAAAGAAAGAGAGGGGGAGAAAGAGAAAGAGAAAAGAAAATAACCAAAGTGAGAAAAAATGAAAGAGAGGGTAAATAAGGGGAGAGATTTGAAGGAGAGATCAGAGAAAAGTGAGAGAAGGGAAGAGAGGAAAGAGAGGTGATAGCATAGAGAGAGAGAGAGAGAGAGAGAGAGAGAGAGAGAGAGGTGAGAGAGAAGGGAGAGGAGAGCAAGGAGAGAAAGCGAAAGAGGCGAGGGAGGAAGAGAGAGTGGTGCGAGAAAGGTGAAAAGGAGAGAAAGGGGTGAAGGAAGAAGAGAGGAGAGGAGAGAAGGAGAGGGAGGGAAAGAGAGGAGTGAGGGTTGAGAGAAAGGAGAGAAAAAGAAAGAGAGGTGAGAGAGAGGATGACGATAGAGAAATTTATGAGGGAAATAAAGAGTGGGAGGGAGTGTTTCTACCTGACTATTATAGTGAAATGTGCTCTTTGACTTTCATCTGTATTTCGATAGATATTGCTACTTTCGAAGAAGCAATTTATTTATCATCACTTTTATGTGAAGTGTGGAAATTGGAATGTCTATCATAGATATATATATTAAATGAATCTAATTGCATAAACTTGAGTGTCCCTTTACTTCGTAAACGTCACTGGAGTGCAAGCACAAATACTCGCGTAGTAAAAGGATTCCAAACTCATGAAGCAAACCAACGCGTTCCGAGCAGGGAATCAGTTTTCGGATATTATATTGAATGACTATTAAATGCTTGATTGGACAATAATAAATTTGTCGCAAAAACGCAACTTCTTTTACGATTCATTTTATTTACTAGAGTAAAACTTTGCATAAATGATTAGCGTAAACTCAAAACTTTCTTTTGTATGTGCCTGGTCACAGCATCTGTATCAAGTGCTGTAAGCTTGAACATGCGGATGGTGCAATGGGTAAAAACAAGGAAGTGGAAATGGGAGAACCGAGTTCCAATCCCAGTGGGGTTCGTTATATTTGCTTAAATGCAAATATCCTTAGGAAATGTAGGCATCCAGCTCTCCTCCACTACCTATGTACTTGGATTAGTAAAATCATTATTATCACCATAAAATTCTTACAAGCTAAAAATCTTTCCTGACTTTAAATAACCTAAAAAAGTTGGATAAGCCCTAAAAAAAAAAAAAAAAAAAAAAAAAAAAAAAAAACAAACAAAAAAAACCCCAACAAATTACTCAATAAATAAAAGAAATTATTCCTATGTAAACAGTTTCGTAACGTCTGTCTGAAAAGAATCAATACATATTAACGGAAAAAAAGAATTAGTGCAAAGTCGCCTTAGTCTTCTTTAATCCTCTTAGCCCACCCATATATCCCAGTGTTCCTTCCACTTTCTAAAGAATTCTTAAAAATCCTTGATCAGGACTGCCATCAGCTGTCTTGCCAAGTTCTGAAATTACCTCTATTCCAACACTGATTTAAGAATATACAAATGACATAAGTCGTAGAAAAAAAAAATGCGCGGAATGTCATTTTGAATGAAATCGTTCCATAGTATACAAACACATTCAATGCCATCTCGCTGCCAACTGGGTAACTGAACAGAAGAGTGCTTCTTTACATATGTGCAGTAAAATCTAATCTGAGAGATTTCCAATTTATATTAAGGCTAGTTCTTACTGAAAGATCTTGTAATGAGCGCTACGAACCAAAATCTTTTGTGTGGAAATAGAGGCAGAGGTTTTTCTAAGGAAGAAAACAGCCAAATATAACTTACAATGTCTTGAATCATTCTCTAAACGTAAATTTCTCTGCGTAGAACTTAGTGCGTGTCAAAGTCTTAGAGTAGCAACAGATTGCGAGGTTAGCTTGCTACCCATAGCTCCATGGTAATACAACCTTGCAAAATATATCTCAGGTTCAGCATCATGGTCGTTGAAGAAGTTTAGCCATTTTTATGAAGGTTTAGTTGATGATGCCATGTTCCTTACGAATACTGGGAATCATAACTCTCCACAACTTCCTATCGTTATTAGCACTGTTCGACCCCTTACTATCAATTCTATTTCCTGTTCTACCATCCATTTACACAAGCTTGTTAGGTCGGTTATTCTCTGTTCCCCTATGCTCCTCTTACCTTCAATATGCCTTGTGAGTGTCAAATTCTCCAAATCATCTTTCCTTATTATGTGCCCCAGAAATATCAACGGTTCTATCTGACTCTAAGTACAAGTATTAGTTTCATTTCCATTTTATGTAAAACTTCCTTGTTGCTCAAATACCCTGTCTATTGTATTCTCAGCACCTACTTTAGAATCATATACCCGTTGCTTCAAGTCTCCACTGCATCTCTGAAGAAATTGTTTAGCATTCATTAACATTTAGGAAAATTTATATTACATAGCAGTTGATTACTCTTTTCTTTGTTTCTAGTGTAATTTTTCCCATGTCGTAATATTTTGCTTAGCTTTTGGAAGGCAACTTTCAATATTCCAATAAGACTTCAGACTCTGTGTCACATTTTTCGTTGCCATAGTTTCTGTACTTTATCTTGACATTTTTAATTTGTAGCTCGCATCTTAGGCAGTATCTTTTGCTAACTACCATACATTCTGACTTCTTATAATTGATGTTAGTTTTATAGAGTGATTTAAATATTCGTATTTCTGAAAGCTTTTAATTGAAGCCAATACTAAACTTGGAATGAATGCCTGCCGGGAAAGATAAATACATTAGGAGATTCTGATTGGCATATAAAGTAGAATTTGGGATAGATAGACTGATAGTGTATTTCACAGTTTATAAGACGCCCCGATGCATTAGACCCCCCCCCACAAAGTTTTGAAGGACGAAATCGGCAAAAATGTTTTCCTTTTACTTCATAGCCGTATCCTCTATCTTCAATTTTTCGCACTGAATAGCATATTTCTCGCATGAAAACCTGACTAATCATGGCAAATTCATCACAGACCTAGAAGTACTGAATTTACGGTAACTATTTAGAATGTAATAATTATAAGAGAATTTAACCCCCGTCATATTCCTGGGTATGACGATAAACTATATCCAGTAGCAAGACCTCTGATCGGGAGATTGGAGGTTTTGAGGGTCATGGAACCACCTCTTAATTGCTGTTGATCCCAGGTCTACCTTGACCCGGGGTGGTAACAGCTGCTAGGGTCCCTGCTGTGGGAAAATAGTGAACCCCCTAACAAAACTAAAACACTATGAAATTTTAAAAATACGTTTTATAGTAAAAATATCAGCAATACATTTTTAAAGCAGAATCACTAACAATACATTTTATAGCAAAATAATCAACGACACGTTTATCTGTAGTTTTAAGTCATAAAACTGTATTTAAAATATTTAGATTTCTGCACTAAATAACCCATAGAAGTCGATATTCCGCTAAACAAAATCAACCAACCAACTCCCATCACTGACCTTCGATTTATAAGACGCGTGTTTTTTTTACATATTTCATAAGAATAAATGTGTCTTATTAGCAGCAAAATATGTTAGATAAGATTTTTATGAAAGAAATGATACGTGCAAACGAATATATCCTTGTTTGAGAGGCTACATTTCAAATCTTTAATGTCATCGCTAGCCTTGTTTTCTAACATTTTAAACAAAATGTATTACCGTATTTGACGGCATATAAGGCTCTCTTTTGAAAAAATTCCCCTGTGTCTTATATGCCATATGTAGGTTTACTAATTTTACTAATTACTAATTTTTTCTTGATTTGCCTTGCTGAAATTGGGGTGCGTCTTATACACCCGTGTGTCTTATATGCTGTCAAATACGGTAATTATTTTTGTCTTCATAATTAAATATTTCTTCCTCGCTCAGTTTTTATTAGATTGTCACATATGAAATGTATTTTTTATTGCCGCCTTTTGACAAAAACTGACAAAGGTTTATTGGCATAAATCATTATTTTCCCGCTTGCTATTGATTTTCAGGTGGTTGTTTCCATAAGATGGAAGATGATGGAAGATGTTTCCATAAGATGGTAGGTGAGTTGGATTGATTGAAAGACAAGCAAATATTTAGAAACAGTTTCAAAAAATTCATATAACAAAATAAATATGATTTCAAAATTTAAAATATTATTATGGATTACTTGTAATTATTTACATGAATCCTGGTATAAAAAGTTATAAATAATTATTGACTGATTTTATCACTGTGATATTTTTCATATTATATCAACTATTAACAATATAGTAACTGAAGTCCGCAAATTGGAGAAGAATGTTATCAATGATAATGTTCTGAATCCGCGGTTATCTCCCTTTAACCATCTCTCTGTTTTTTTTTAATCTTTAAATATAATTTTCATTATATAAAATTTGGTGTGGCGCTAGCAAATTTTCATTCTGAAAATGTGTCCAAAGGAAGAAAGGTTGGGAACTACTGGTCAGAATAGAGATGAGTTGATTCTGCTTCATGATAATGCGTGTCCTTGCACTTCACGGTCCATCGTTCAAAAATTGAATTTTAGAAATTTTTTTTAAAATCATCCTGATCTGGCATCTAGTCTACGGTCGCGTTTTCACAGACGTGCCGTAGCTTCCCTCTGTCACTACCATAAGCATTTTTCACGGCAACTGTTCCAACGAGTTGCTTTCTCTGGTTCCCAAACTTTATGAATTTAAGCCAGCTACTAGGTTGGTATCTCGGTCCCACCCTTTCACTGTCGAAACGGTTAAATGTAACCGTCTCTTCTACACAAACAGCTTCTTCTCTCGCACTTCCCGGCTGTGGAATTTTCTTCCTCTTACTTGCTTCCCTGATAACTATAATCTTCAAATATCCAAGTGTAATGTCAATCGATATCTTATGATACCTTGATCTTGTTCCCCCCGTCCTTCTCTTTATCCTCTCCCCAAACACGCTTCTCTACACTCTGTAACCCCTTGCGTGCTAGTGGCACCCCTGCCTTTCTTGGGGAGAAATGCTTAAAAATGTTCACCCCAAGCAAGGCGATAATGCCACTAGAATGCGAGGAGGTTGTGGTATAGGGAGTGAAAGTTAATGAGAATGAGAGGATTTAAGATGAGGAGGATTGAGGTAAGGCCAAAAAAGGAACAGGCCTCAAGATGGCAGATGATGGCGATTGACATTGCATTTAAATTTTTGGAGATTAGAAGCAAGAGGAAGGCCGAGAAAAATACTGTTCGTGTAGCATCTATTTGCCAATCTAGTAGCACGCTTAAATTCATGTAATCGGAGCAACAGGAAAAAAAGATAGTCCGTGCAGTTACCATGAGAATATTTGTAGAACAGACAAAGGGAAAGCAAGTCACGTCGGTGAGAACGTGACTGGAGACGAGATGCCTAGTCAGGATCGATTGTATTACAGACCCTTTTCTGGATTTTGCCAAGAATCATGAGATGCAAAGTAGGAGCACCAGGCCAGGTATGGCAGCAGTATTCAATACACTGACAAATGGTAGATTTATAAAAGTACAAGATGGATTCTGACGAGAAAATTTTTTGGAACGACATAGGAAACCAACCTTCAACACAGCAGACGTAGCAATTGATTCGATATAGTCGGTCCACTTCATGTCAGTGAATAATGTGAGGCCAAAAATATGTAGAGTATTACTCTCCTAGAGGTTAGCATTAGCCATCCTGACAGTAGGCAGGTTCTCTGTGGTGACTAAATGAAAGCAGTTTTATCTTGGATGCTGCCTTGATTATGAAATTTGGGCGCATTCATATCATTCACCAGACATCTCTCTCACTGATTTAAACAATTTTAAATTTCCATATGCAATAGAAGATTCTTTTATAGTGAAGAAGTAGTCGAAACATTTTAATAATTTGTCAAGGAAAAAAACGAAGTGTTTCGTTTTTAATATGATAAATAACTTAAAGTTCAGTTAGAAGAAAACCGTAGAACAAAAGTGATTTTGATTTAATAAAAGGTCATTTTGATTGCATGAAACTTTTCATAAAAAACATTTCATATTGGACAACTTAATACTATTTAAACTGAAATAAAATAAATACATATTACTTTAGAATGTTGGCGTTTTAAAATTATAGAATGCTCTTTTTCATCAGATATTGTCTGATTGCCGTTTCACATTTAGAAAGATATTTCACAGGAACAATTTTATTCCACCCACCGGATTGATTTATATTATTTCATGTAGATAATTAAATTCCTGGAAATTGAAAACTTGTTCGTTGCGTTTTGACTGTTTTCGGCTATAGACAAGCTAGCCTGATAGGTTATTCCCTCCAATAATATTATCAATAAATAAGCAGCCTGTTAGGTTCAGCTTTGACCTCTCAATTATTGCTGCTTTTTAGAGAAAAGCGATGGCTACCGCTTTGTAGGTTGTTAGCGACGTCAATCGACTGTGATAGGATCTATTAATGACGCGTATCAAAGGCCGGCAACTTCAGGTGATACTTTGTCGCACGACTGTCGCTTGAGTGGCGCATCTGACGAGTTGCATCTGAAGAAAAATATTTTGCGGCATCCATTTTGCTTGAGTTTTGAAGTGACAGCGAAAGTATCGGCCGCATCCGTCGTGCCAAACGACGGGAAGTTGGCGGCTGCGACGCACAACTCGGGTGAAAAGATGTCGTCTGCACAAACGCGTGCATTGAAGCATGGCCGCCATTGATCCTAATTGGAGCGTTAAAAGACGAGAATGCGTTAAATGCGCCTGTAATACTAGAGATAAGTAAGCGAAGAGCAGAGCGACTTAACGCTAATGTGTCCCCCTTAAAAGAAGCAGGCCATTTAGCTAGAAAATCACCCTTTCTCGGTGGATGGACGATCATCAAAATGCTTTTAATAACATAATTGACTTGAGTAATTGGGCGACAGGATTGTTTCAAGATGTAAAACTGAGCAGGTGTGTACGGCGTGTGCCTGCGTACACGTGTGTATTTGCAGTTTTCACGAGTAGTCGACCATGATGTCTGTTATTCATAAAATGTATAAGCATTCTTCTTGTATATGTGTAGGTGTGTTTTATTAATTACCGCTTCATATTTATGTTTGTCTATCTGCGTGTGTCATTGCCGATGTGCTTGTTTTGTTACTGTTAATGAGCATAATACATAATAGTTGACAGTAGAATTAATGTGTACGCATTATTCGTCTAACAGCGTTCTTATCTATCTATATATCTATCTATCTATCTATCTATCTATCTATCTATCTATCTATCTATCTATCTATCTATCTATCCCTGTAAGTTATCATCATTGGAACATTGACAAAATAAATTTTTCTGTCTCTAGAAACATTCATGTACTTTTAAAATCAGTTGCCTATCTATCTATCTATCTATCTATCTATCTATCTATCTATCTATCTATCTATCTATCTATCTATCTATCTATCTCGTCAGCTACCTGTTTCTGTCGATCATCGTCTTTATCTATCTATCTATCTATCTATCTATCTATCTATCTATCTATCTATCTAAATTTTGTATAAATATAAACAGTATATGTTGTAAGATACTTGTTGAACTTTAGCAATTTGACAAAATCCATAGCATTAGAAAGAAACAGGCGAAATTTCTGGGCTAACATTGTGCGTAAAGTGGGCCTGGAGAATTTGATACTCACATGACATTCTGAAGGCAAGAGAGACTTAAGGAAATAGGGAGTAACCTACTTAACAAATCTGTGTAAATGCATGGCAGAACAGTGGTTGAGTAAGATGTTAAGCAAATATTGCTTAGAGTTGCAAAAGATAGGAAAGTGGAGAGAGCCATGATCGTCCACGTCTTGAATATACACTACACATAAAAAAGAAGTCATATCTTTATCTCACGTTGCTTTTTCTCTTTTCTTGCCAGTCATTTTCAAACTGATTCTTCTTCTTCCGCCCTTAAGCGTGGAAGAAGTCGTTAGGGCGCCGACGTGCTGAGCTGCCCACAATTTTCCTCCATCTGTCGTAGTCGTGTGCGAGTGCCTTGGTCTTCACGAATGGTTTCTTGATGGGCTAATCAGGTTGCGTGTCTTGGGATTTTTAAGCTGGCGGAGCCCATCCCTGTCCAGGTTAGACCACAGCCGACGTCCTCATGTAGCAGTTGTAGTTCATTTGCATCGAGGAGCTCCTTCGCGTTAACACCACTGGAACCATCACATGAGAGATGGTATCTATCACTGGTTGAGAACCAATGATGCAGCGTGCCAAATGTACTACCTTTATCCATAGCCCACTATGCTATATATATATATATATATATATATATATATATATATAAATGCAAGTTATGTGCCATGCGTGATACACACTGCGGTAGACCAGTTGCCATCCAAGGCTAAAGAACCCGGTCTGTCCTGTTATTTACCCATAACTGGGGGGGGGGAGAAGAGTATTAGCACGTAAGTGAATGTAATGAATTCGAACTCGGCTCTCCGATTCCTTAATCAGAACCGCTATCCATTACTCCACTTTACTACTACAAAATTGCACATTTTGTTTCGACGTTTAACACGTCTCATGAGGTAGTTAACATCAGTAGTTAACAATGATGGTTACTATCATTGTTAGCTAAACAAAATATGCAATTTTTTAGTAGTAACTTGCATGTTGTAATGTAACAGTTTATAATAAATATTTATTGTTCTGCTTTTGTATTGAGCCCTTTTTTAAATTAATGTTATGAACGTTTGAATTTTATTCTTTTCGTTCTTTTACATTTTGGTATACATACATACATGCATACACGCACACATACATACATACATACATACATACACACACACACACACATATATATATATATATATATATATATATATATATATATATATATATATATATTGGATGTCAGAGTGAACAGTTAGTCATCAAATGTACAGTATTAAGTTGATGTAAATCTATCTCTTGCCGATTTCTCTCTCTGTTTAGTCCCAATGAGCTACTATTTACGATTGGAAGAATATTTATAGCGGAATATTCATTTTCGTGGTCAAAAAATAAGCAAGAAAATAATAATTCTGAAGTTAACAGTAATGTGGGGAATAAACTATTTGCATATCTTTTGCAATAATTTTAGCATTTAACAAATAAAACGGTCAGATAACGGTTTCCTATGCTCGTAAGTCAGCCGTTGAAATATAAGACAACTCGCAGTATGGAAAAAGAGTTGTTTCAATGAACAGTTTGAATGCTTAGGGTTTAGGACACACAATCAAAATATTAATGGTAGTGGCCTTATCTTATTTGTAGCCTGATTGTTGATGATTCATAACAAACCTCAATCAGCTTACATCTTTTATTGTTAAAACCAGAAGATATCTTTACAATCTACTGTACAACTAAAAGGAGTATTTTTTGCGGACTTGACAGCAAGAACAATACTTTCGAACAAAAATTACCTGATCATATGAGGTACTCCTAAATTTAAGGTCATTAATTACGAATAGTTTTAAATTAATTACCGTTCACCTGGCATTCTGAGTTCTCCCTACTTTCTAACTGTTACTTTTCTGATAGTCATAATAAAAAATAATATTCTCTAAATAGAATCTGAGATCATGAGAAAAACCTTTTCTATATAGATCGTTTGAGTACACATTATTTGAAAACATAAAAATAGGGATCTCCAAGAATGTACTAAAAAGAGGATAAACGATGAAAAAGAATGCACAAAACATAAAACAACTTTATCGTAAAAATCTTTGTGTTATTATTAAGATGAAAGATCAAAAGATGTTTTTATGTAAAAAATATTTTTTTCAATTCTTTTACAACTCTAGAAATGTTGGCTAAATATTTTGTTTTTCTGATGTCAACGCGGGATCATAAATTTGTACGAGAATTTTGAGTGTCTTTAACCGTGAAAAACATTGATTTGAAAGTTCTTGCAAAAATCAGATAATTGTTGGTTTGAAATTAAACTTTCAGGACTTATTTTATGTGTATAAAGATGTCGATTTTTGTAAATATGGATGTCCATACACGACATTATCAGAAAATAAGAGCGACATTTATAGAAAATTTAGAATTTATTGGTAATTTTCTAACATTTCCTCAACAATCGTTATCGTAAGACTATAAATACAAAGTACCTAAAATTCAATAAAATATTAGATTGCTTAGAATATTTTTATAACTTTTTAAAAATTATTGGATAGCATTCATTTCGTATTCGTTAAATAATTTTTTACAATTATGTACACCTTATTTACATTTTCCAAACTTTAGGCTGTCGATAGTTCTGTCACCACCTCATAAATATACTCACTTCATGCTGAAAAGGATGCTTTTCAGCGATATTTTAAACTAAATCAATATTTATTTCAATTCAGATTTTATTAAAGTTTAAATTAGCTAATTTAACATATTTTATTTTTGAATGTTTTTAATACAGAGAATTATTCTGTATTAACAGATTTGTCAACATGGACAATTTTATAGTTTTTACTGATGATCAGAAAAAGATTATTCCAATAAATTTAAATTTGGTTTGAAATAATGCCAAGTATTTTGCGTATTGAAAATATTAGGTTGGAATTATAAATAAAATAAAAGCTTCAAGAAAGATTTTTAATTTTTTTAAACGCATTTTAAAACTTAGTATCGCTTTTCTGAAGGTACGTAAGTTATATTAAATTACCTAAATCATTTTTAATTGGAATAAATAACAAGAGGATTTAATCAATAATAGCGATTATGACGTAGCTTTGTCAATATGGCCAATTTTAGCTATTTGAAAAAAAAAAGATTCCAACCAATTTAAATTCGGTTTGAAATACGGCAAAGTATTTTACTTCTTTGAAATATTAAATTTAATCTATTAACTTGGAATTAAAACTAAAATAGAAGTTTTAAGAAAGATTTTTAATTTTTTTAAATGCATTTTAAAACTTACGTATCGTACTTTTTGGGGGACCTACATAAGAATCATGACTATAGAAATAGTTTAATTATATCTCGTCATTTCAACGACATTGAAGAATTCATATTTCATATTTCCGGTTACGTAACAATGACAAAAAAACCCAGCAAATAACTTAGGAACATAGTAAACTCTTTACGTTATGGTAAAATGTGTCAATTTATGTTAAGATTTTCCCAAGTATGCTGCGAATTTCTACCAGAAAAAAAGATTTTCTATAAACGTAATTGATTCAGGACGAATTTATAAAAAATATAAATAACTGATAAATGATTAATATTTTGTTGCGTGTAAAATGATTTAAAAAGCATGAGAAAAACTGGACTTTTGCAAAAGAAAAGTCATAACTGTTGGTAGAAAGATAAATTTTGAGAAAATATTGTGTAATTTCTCTTCTTATACAGGTATATACATTTCTCTTCTTATACAGGTATATACATTTCTCTTCTTATACAGGTATATACATTTCTCTTCTTATACAGGTATATACATTTCTCTTCTTATACAGGTATATACATTTCTCTTCTTATACAGGTATATACATTTCTCTTCTTATACTTATTATACAGGTATACATTTCTCTTCTTATACAGGTATATACATTTCTTCTTTATACAGGTATATACATTTCTCTTCTTATACAGGTATATACATTTCTCTTCTTATACAGGTATATACATTTCTTAGGAAATAAGAGAGAACACACCAGTTCTAAATACATTTATCAGGAAATAAAAGGTAAAAACGCCAGTTCTTAATACATCCATGCCTTTCAGTAAAGTCTATAAATTCATTCATATAATTCTCTTCATTAAAAAATCTTTTAAAAATAAACTATACATTTCTGAAATGTTATATGCAAAAAAATTAGCTAATTCAAACGTTAATAAATCTGAGCTGAAACAAATATTACTTAATTAAATATCGCAGAAAAGCATTTTTTTTAAGACTGAGCACCATCTTTTGAAGTGCCGAGTGATTTATTGACAACCTAATGTTTGTTCAGAGTCTCTCTATATTTCTGAGATGAGGTATTATGTACATTATTTACATTATTCGGACTATTGTCCTCATCTTTGTCGCCATTATTATCACAACGTTTCGGTCGTTGTACGCTCCGGCCTTCTTCAGGTGGTTGGAATTTCGAACTGAACCCTCATAGGAGATAATTGATAACTGATATCCATCAAACATGGCACGTGGAACTAGAACAGTCTACCTCAGTGAGCGAAATAAAGGGTTCAGTTCGAAATTCCAAACACCTGAAGAAGGCCGGAGCGTACAACGGCTGAAACGTTGTGATAAATATGGCGACAAAGATGAGGACAATAGTCCGAATAATGTAACTAATGCTTGTTAAATTTAACTAAGGGGGACAATAACTAGAAAAATGCATGATGAATACAACGTGAACTCTTTTTAATATAACTTTTTTAACAACCCAATAATCTTAAAATTTTTAAATATTTTACGCATTGTAATATTTTACTGAATTTTAAATACTTTGGCTTTTTAGCCTTACTTGCAAAGACGCTTACTGAGAAAGTGTCAGAAAATTATCGATAAATTTAAAATTTACCATAGGTATCTCGCTTATTTATAGGCACCTCGCTTAATTATAGGTATCTCGCTTAATAATAAGCACCTCGCTTATTTTCTTAGGTCGTATATCGTTATCCGTATGTACAAAAGGCGACACGTTTATATGCATAAAAAAAATTCAAAATTCTTTTTAAAATACTAGACGTCACTGAATTGTAGTAAGTCTTTCCATTTATTATTAGTAAATACAAATTTTATTTAATAATAACACTTGACCACTTCAAATTAATATAATTAAAAGATTTAAAAATTATAAAATGAAAAAAAATTATAATGACTTAGTTTTATTGCATTTCATATTTCATGATTCAAATTTACAGTAACTGAAGATCTTGTTTAACTAAAAAATAATGATGATTAAAACTTTGCGAAGACTTGTCCTTATAACAAATATAAAAATTAATCAATACAAAAAGAATTTCTTGAAATTTTATAAATAAAATGATTGTGTGTGTGTTTGTATGTGCGGTGGCAGTGGGGGGGGGCTAACAGATGTAAATAAATATTTTTACCAAGATTTTCAAAAAATGAAAAATTTAAAAAATAATTTAAGTAATTTACGAATAAATCTTGAAAGTTTCATTAAAATCTAAGAATTATTTGATTTTGCTCGAATTTCCAAATTAATGTATTTTTCACTTCAAAAAGATGCTCAAATTTCACGGTCCCGTGTTGACACCAGAAAAACAAGATTTTAACTAAAATTTCGATGGTTCTAAAAAGGATGAAAATAATTTTTACATAACATTTTTTTGATCGTACCTCCTAATAATAACACAATGATTTACACGAGAAAATTTTGTTTTTCTTATGTTGTGGTTCATTAGTCATCTTATCTTTCAGGGAATTTTCGGAATTACAAACAATCACGTGCACAAATAAACACACACGAACACACGCTCGCACGCACACACACACACGCACACACACACACACACACACACACACACACACACACACACACACACACACACACACACATATATATATATATATATATATATATATATATATATATATATATATCCAGGCGTAGATACATCAGTAAATGCGCAGCGTAATTATGAAAAAACATTTATTTATTTCATACGACAAATATCTATCTATCTATCTATCTATCTATCTATCTATCTATCTATGAGGATGTAGGGTTCGTGAGTATTACGAGAGACTGTCAAAGGATTTTAAAAATAGATATATAGTCAGAATTTTGGAAGTGGATCATAAACATGACTTTATACACATACATACATACATACATCCACACGCACACACACACACACACACACACATATATATATATATATTTTACGAAATGGATAACGTTTAAGCAAAACAAATTAAAATACATATATATATATTACTCCACTGCGTAAAATACTTCTTGTGATGGGAAGTACATATACTCCATAAGTGAGTCTGCAGTGATACCACACACACACACACACACATATATATATATTCGTTAAATTCTAAATGTTTCCAACCGAAATCAAACGATTTATTAGACACCTATATAAACTCAACAAAAAGCTTAATAAATATCACCCGTTCCTTTTGCTTAATATGTTATATATATATATATATATATATATATATATATAACAATATTACTTGATCTTCTCAATAAACTAAACAAAATTGAACGTAAAACTGAATTTACTTATGAAATAGAAACAAAATTATATTACCGTTTCTTGATATGTTAAACAGCGCTGATAAAGATCTAAAACTAAAAGCACTTGATAAAACAAGACACACAATATTGGTCAATAACGGTTCCACAATAAACTAATCCATCTACACTTTATCTGAATGTAAAAATATCTGTGGTTGTGGGTTTGTGTAATGGATTGCGAAATGAGAAATCAGGGAGTCGATTTCGAATTCTAGTCAAGTTCATTATATTCACTTACGCGCAAATAACCTTGGAAAAGGCATGAATCCATCTTTCCTTCCACCAGCAAGGGATATACAGCAAGACAGACTATGCTCTATATTCATGGTTGGAAGCCAGTCTTGGAGAAAGCAAACTGAATTCAAACCAGCCTGGAAAGTGTTGGTCTTCGTCAGGCTATCTCGCCCAAGACACATCACTGCTGCCACGGCTGCAGTACATTTGGTGCCTCTACGACCATAATGGGTTACGTGATTCGTGAGCTTGACTTGGAAAAATATCTAATGTAAAAATTTGTCGCAACTATTTCGAAATCAGTAAGAGGTAAATAAGACAAAATATTAAAATTAGATCTGTAGTTGGAATTTATAAAAAAAAAAAAAATAAATAAATAAATAAAATAAAAAACTGAATCTAAATGGGATCAGCTGGATTATATTAAAAAGCAAAATTTTATTCCCAGCATCCCTCGTTCGTGCGCATGTGCACCAACATAACAAATTTAGTCCGATGAAGTCTTAAAGGACGAAACACGTCAGACGAAAATTTTTTTTTTAATTTGTCATACATTTTTTCCAACCAAATAGATTGCAAAAATGTCCCAAGAAATACGAATGTGAGATATCTAGGAATTTAAATAAAAGATTATATGAACATAAAATTGGTCTTTTACAAAATAATAAACTCAGTTCAATAGTTGTTCAACATAATGGGTTTGACCATGATTGCGACTAAAAGAGAAAGTATTTTATGAGGCGAAAATACATTGAAAGTGCATTAACTTCGGAATCCTCTACAATAAATTTATGCCCAGGATTAAGCTACATGCTGACAGTCTGTTTCATGCTAGATGCAATCGTCAGGCCACGAGCCTCGTGGCCTGACGATTGCATCTAGTATGAAACAGACTGTCACCTCTAAGTGTTGACTTCCATATTCACTTTAATATATATATATATATATATATATATATATATATATATATGTGTGTGTGTGTGTGTGTGTGTGTGTGTGTGTGTGTGTAGTGTATGTGTGTGTGTGAACAAACATGTTATACCACAGAATTAATATATTGTGAAGGTGTTTGATAAGCACCTTTAATATCTTTATATTGCTCTGTTCATCCTCTTCCTCGTTCATCGAGCACTGTGTTGTATCGGTAAACATGCCATATTTGTTTCATATATATATATATATATATATTTGTGTGTGTGTGTGCGTATATGTATAAAAGGTTAAAAATAATGAAGCATTATTGATAAAAAAGAAAAAGAGCCAACGCTCAATAAGCTCAACTATGAACACGGCCACAATGTACTAACCGTGTTTGGAAAAAAAACATTCTTATAACTCTAGATGCATACATCAATCAATCCATACATCCAGTTAAATTTAAAATATAAAATCATCCTTGATAATGGGCAAAATTATAGCCGAACAGAAAAAGAGTAAATAAAAACTTAACCTCAGTACCTTGTCAGTCATTTTTATATATATTGCAGATCTGTTATTTTACATTGGATACTGTTTCATTACCACCAACATTCACTGTGTGTTGTATTATATTATAATTTATGTATATAAACATTTGTATTCATCATGCATCCATATATAACATATAATAATAACTAACATATCAAAAGTCTGTAAAGGCAAAAAAAAAAAAACAACTTTTCGTTGAGCGTAAAACTCGTGATTTTACTTAAAAAACAAACAAACAAGTGGAAAAAACGTAACATGCAAAACCTATGGCGAGGTACAAGGTAGAATTACATTAAAACGTTACATTCTGCTATTTGAATTGGGAGCCTGCTGTCAAGCGATTTGTGTCAGGGACATATTGCTAATTGTTGTAACTAGGTCCGTTTCAAATCAAAACTTGGATCCCTGCCGGAAAGGACCTCGGGATGGATTTGCCCCAATGCACCCAACCGGGCCACTTGTATACGCATATCCGTCTACTGATTTCCGATCGGCATTTTCTCACTTTTCCTGCTGACAGCCAAATGGATTTTTAAAGGGAAGCCAACAGAATGATTTTTTTTGTTGTTGTTGTGTTTCCCGACAGCCGGGGTTAACACCCACTTTATATTTTGTATTGTTTCTCCTTCTCGCTGTATACATTTTTGTACGAGTGTTCTTGAGAATGAGAAACGGTAGTGAAAGATGGGAATTTTTCTGTGATCATAACAAATAAATAAATAAAAAGTAAAAAGTAAAAAATATATAAAAAATAAATGAAAAATAAATAGAATAGAAAAGAAATTAATAAATAAATAAGTTAATAAAAATAAATGAACAAAAAGGAATAAAAATAAACGAAAAAATAAATAAAATAAAAAAAAGTATAAATAGGAAATAAATAAAAATAAATAAATAAACAAATAAGAATGAACATGAAAATAAATAAAACATAAAGAAATTAAAGAAATAGATTAATAAAAATAACTAAAAATAAAAAAAAGACTGAAGGAGAATGTTCGAGAGAAAATGAATTTTTTTTTAGATGTCAACGATCCAAATATCGAAGATGTTTCCATTGCAATAATACATAAAACAGAAGAAAATAAATTCAAGCAAATTCATCTTTACGGAAATCTCAAACTGAAAAGTTCGATACCAAAATCATAGCTATCTCGCACCCTGTTCAATTACTTTAGCTGCTACCTAGTTGGCCAAATCTCTCAAAAGGCATACGTTGACACTATCAAATTCAAAATCATTAAATAACACGCAATGTCCATTAAGACGATCATGTTTCCACAAGCTTCTATTTTTCTTTTTAATTTTCTGTGAATTGTCGCGACTTCTTGGGAAAAATAGTGGAACTGTTCCCTATTGATTTCACCACAGTTCTGAATGGAGACTTTTCCTTCTCTTAGACTGTTTGTCAATCAAGGCTAGAGAGACTAGTCTACCCTACGATTTAACCGATATCTGGCGGAAGAAAAGATAGATTCCTATCTATCCTAAGAGAGTTGGCGTGAAAAAGTAAACGCAAGAGACTAGGCCGGATTTCGAACTATACTCGTCTATTTCATTTTTTGCACCGATAATCGTACACCACACGCACATCCCATTAAGAGTCATAATAAAATGTTTACCACTTGGGATAAACACTTTTTGTCGCCTTCTCACATAAATTTATAAATTCGTCTTTTTTTAATTTGGTATAAGAAGATTGTGCTACGCCAATCATTGTAGATCTTATAGTCAGTACTTTCATGTACTTGCAAAATCAGAGATGCCAATACATAGATTTTAGGTCACAATATAGAGCTTACTATTTTTTGATGTGTACTGTATTTATCTGACATTGTGAGATGTGGCAATATTGTTAGATCAGTTCTTCAATGTACTCTGTCTTTTCAAGACGTAGGTGATTATGGGTCTTCACAATTTCTTATCCTTCGTAACTATTAGTAACTTTTTTTTCTTTTTTAACAAGACCTCCCTCTTCGTTCGGCTATTCACTTACACTACTCGTTGGGTAGGTTGTTCAATGTTTCTTCTGTCCATTTTGTTTTCACTATGTTATGTGAGCATCAAGTTTTCCAAAAATCTTTTGCTCATTATGTGTACTGTCCTAATATATAAATGTATAAGCCATGTGTGTTCTAAAAGTGGACGGGCAGTGTGACACTGAGATCCGAAGACGTATTGGGTTGGCCAAAAATGTATTCCAAAAGCTAAGCAGAGTATTAAGAGACAGGAAAGTTTCGTTGGAAATAAAGAAAAGACTACTGAACTGTTACGTGATATCTGTTCTCCTGAATGACAGCGAATGCTGGACAATCTCCTCAAAATGAAGAAGAGACTCGAATCAATGGAAATGTGATTCTACAGAAGGATGCTGAAAATACGATGGACATGTGAGCAACGACGAGGTTTGGGAGAGAATGGAAACAAAGAAAAATCTTATACTTAACATCAGGAAGAGGCAGTTGAAATTTCTGGGTTACGTAATGAGGAAGGAGGGTTTGGAAAATCTGATACTCACAGGACGGATAGAAGGAAAGAGGGACAAGGGAAAGCAACGCGTGACAATTAACGAACTTTAGCTTGTGGATGGCAGAACAGAGTCTGGGAGAAATAACAAAAAGACAAAACATATTAAGGGCTACGTCATGAAGGGACACAGCACATAAAAGAAGAGTTCACATTTCTTATAAATAGGAACAGGATCAAATCCAGTAGCCGTTATTTGGTCTAAAAACACTGCTATCGAAAGATTGCGACAGACC